GTCGGTACACACCTCTCACACGTTTCGTGGCCCCATCGGGAGCTCCACCGAGGGCCCCCAGTGGCTGCGCTCGCATGTGGGCACCGCACCCAACTCGGCACACCCCTCACACGTTTCGTGGTCCACAAGGAGCTCCACTGGAGGCCCCAGCGGCTGCGCTCGCATGCGCCCACCGCACCCATTTCGGCACACCCCTCACACGTTTCGCGGCCCCATATGGAGCTCCACCGAGGGCCCCAGTGGGTGCACTCACAGGCGCCCGCCGCACCCACTTCGGCACATCCCTCACACGCTTCGTGAGCCCATAGGGAGCTCCACCCAAGGCCTTAGTGGCAGGGTTCGCATGGCGCCACCGCGCCTAGTTCGGCACACCCCTCACACGTTTCGTGGGCCCACAGGGAGTTCCATTGAAGGCTTCAGTGGGGAGGGTTCGCATGGCCCCACCGCACCAAGTTCGGCACACCCCTTACACGTTTCGCATAGGGAGCTCCACCGACATACCCAGTTGTAGGGTTCGCATAGCGCCACCGCGACCATTTCGGCACGCCCCTCCCACGTTTCTCCACCGAAGGCCTTTGTGGGAGGATCCGCATGCGACTCCCCGCCCATGCCGGCACACCCCTCACGCGCTTCTTGGCCCCATCCATAGGGAGATGTTTCCCCACACCATCCTGTGGTGCTACTCGTTTTAAGGAGCCCACGTTCCTCACTCATTCCTCCTTCCTCCTCCACCATCTCTTCCCTGCGTTTCTCCCACATAATACAGCGTTGAATGGCTCAATAGGGGGCTCCACCGAAGGCCCCAGTGGCACCGCCCGCATGCGTCTCCCCCACCCGGTACAACGTTTCGTGGCCCCAGAGGGAGCTCCACCGAAGGTCCGTTTGGCGCAGTTCGCATGCGCCCCCCAACCCATTACAGCGTTTCGTGGCCCCAGAGGGAGCTCCAACGAAGGTCCCAGTGGCGCAGTTCGCATGCGTCCCCCCCGCCCAGGGCCCAATGGCGCAGTTCGCATGCGTCCCCCCCGCCCAGTACAGCGTTTCGTGGCCCCAGAGGGAGCTCTACCGAATGTCCCAGGTGGCGCAGTTTGCACGCGTCTCTCCCACCCAGTACGGCGTGTCGTGGCCCATAAGGAGCTCCACAGAAGACCATGCCCGCAACTGCGGTACTCACAACTGCATATGGTTGGGTTATTCGCCATGCTAATGTTTTAGGTTCCCAGTGCATCCTCGACGTATGTGTGGAACGCACGGTTATTTCATGTTTGTTGCCGGAGCCGCTCTCTAGTCGTCACCGCTCGTAGGTTCTGCTCAGCAGAAGGGTTGTAATAGCTGCCCAGTGTCAAGAATCCAGCAGCTACGGGCCCGACCATGAACTTCACGAATTTCACGATGTCAAACCAAGAGTCTCGATCACCATCTCGAGAAGGCGAGTACAGTCGGACCGAGGTACAAGATCGAGGTCGGTTCGGGGAGGGTACCCTAATGTTTTTCGTGTTTGTTGGACGTTCCTGTGCGCCTTGGGGAGGGTACCCTTGGATGTTCTCTGCATTTTGGCAAGCAGAGGGTCTCGTGTTCTTGAGGGGTGTTTTTCTGGCCTACCTTCCATTGTAACATAAACAATGGACAATGAACTGAATTGTTTGTGTCAGTAAGTTTGTTCGCTGTTTTGTTTGGAAGAAGCTAGTAATTTGGCTGGCAAGTTTGCCGGCGATAGTGCCACTGACTGCCAGAATCGCAACCACATGTTCCAACCCAAAGAACCGAACACTCAATCATGGCTTGTGCTCTTGGACCTGATGACTGGCGTTTTTTCATTTCTGGAATTGGCGATCGGCTTGGCGGGCCTCCTGCTGTTGATTTCTTAGGATTCGTCTGGGTACGATCGTGGTCTGGTGGTCCACGCCATTGTCTTTCTGGACACGACAACGAGCGTAGTTTTTCAATTGCCGCTGCTGTGGTCATCGTGCTTCTCATCTTCATGGAGCGTGGCTGCCGCCGTGACTGCCGCCGCGGTCTTCGTGGTCGCCACCCTGGTTGTGGTCACTACACTACGTTCCTTGGTCGTTGTGGCTGCCTCTCGGGGCGCCCCCTCGCCTGCGCCTCTTGGTGGCCCCGCGCCTACGCCTGGTGCCAGGGCCTGGGCCCCATAGAGAGGACGTCTCGTCTTGGTCGTCTGCCTCCTCCTCCTCCTCCTCCTGCTCCTCCTCCTCCTGACGCAGAGCGCAGCATGCGATGACGCAGCCGCCCCTAGACGGCCTTCGACGAGGCGGATCCACAAGGATGGGTCCCCTGGGTCCACCCCTGAGGCCCTTTCCCCGCCGACCCCTTTCTCCTTCCTCCTCGTCGTCCTCCTCCCCGGAGGCAGCTGTGCTAGTGCTGCCGCGCAGGAGAAGTTCCAGGACGAGCTGGACAGGTTCGAGGAGTCCGTGGACCGCGCCTCGTACAACACGGCCAATGCGGCCGCCATCGCGGACGTCGCGGCGTCGAAGATCGAAGATGCGGCCGCGATAATAGGCGGACGCGCCACCGCCGGTCCCTGCTCCCTCTCCTTGTCCCCCTCTAGTCCTTCCTCCAGTATTCTCTTCTCCTGTTTGTGCCTAACTCTTGCCTTAGTTTGCTTCGTTGCGGCCCAACGTTGCCCTACCGCTGCTTAGATCCAAGTGTCCGCCGACCAGAAAAGCCCCCTTCCCCTCTCCATCCACGGTCGCTTCCACGCGAGCCCGCCCACGTACCACACTCTTGAGGCTACGCCCTCCGCCCCATGCCTTGAAGGGCCCTGCCCGGCTCCCCGGAGGAGCGCGCGCGACTCTGAGGAGGAGGAGGAGGCGGAGGAGGAGGAGGAGGAGGAGGAGGAGGAGGAGGAGGAGGAGGAGGTGGCGTTCGCTTCGCTTCGCATCCCTTCGCTTCGGTTCGCTTCGCTTTCCTCCACCTCTCCCTCCCCTGGGTCGGCGGGTGCCCCTCCTGCGCGGGCCGGCCCCGCGCAGCAGCTCTGCCCGGAGCCTCCCGCGGCGCCCTCTGGCCGCACCCTCGGTCCTGCTCCGGGCTGCCTCTGGAACGAGGGCGGTCGCAGGTGGAGGAGGAGGAGGAGGAGGAGGAGGAGGAGGAGGAGGAGGACGAGGACGAGGACGAGGACGAGGACGAGGAGGAGGAGGAGGAGGACGAGGACGAGGAGGAGGAGGAGGAGGAGGAGGACATGCTCGGTGCGCTCGCGTCATATCTGACGTCCTACCCCTCCCTCCCGTCCCTTATCATGGCGTAGATCTCCTCTCTATTCGCACTGTCGGATGTCGAGCAGGGCAATGATCCCGAGAGGGTTCGCGATGAATCGTAGAGCACGAAGAGCACGGCAGAGCGTAGTATGTCATAGCATGGCATGGCGTTGCGTAGTGAAGAATTGCATCACAAAGCGTTACAACGCAAATAATGACATCGCACAGCGGCACAGAACATAATTTGGCATAGCATGGCGTTGAAGATCAAAGCGTAGCATGGCATAGCATGGCGTGGCACTGCGTAGTCAAGCATTGCATATCCTGAATGCATGGCATGGCACACCGGAACACATAGCATTGCATTGCATGCCGTGGCATAGCACTGAAAATAATGACGCCAGCGCTGCAGCGGGAGCACGATTCGGAATAAGCGGAAGCGCGGAAATGAGGCCAGCGCTGCAGCGGACGCATGATACGGAACGAGCGGAAGCGCGGAAACGGGGCCAGCGCTGCAGCGGACGCACGATATGGAACGAGCGGAAGCGCGGAAATGAGGCCATCGCTGCAGCGGGAGCACAATTTTGGCAAAAACCCAAGCGAAAACCCAATTCCCGGGAATCCTGTGTGTAGAAATCAGTACGCGGAGGGGGGCCGAACATCTTCCGGACGTCATCAGGGGAGAGAGGAGAGTAGTATTCATATTGTGTTATTGCGGAGGAGGAGGAGGAGGAGGAGGAGGAGGAGGAGGAGGAGGAGCAGGAGCAGGAGCAGGAGGAGGAGGAGGAGCAGGAGGAGGAGGAGCAGGAGGCGGGGCGGGAAGCGCAGTGGGAGCAGGGATGTTTTAGCATGGTGGTGTTGGGGGGGGGAGTGACGGGGGGGGAGAGGGGAGAGGCAAACCAGGTGCGCTCGCGACATCTCTGACATCCGTCTATCCACTCATCCCTTACAATTGTGTTGAGTCCTTTTCTATTGGTCAGTTTGGTGTTTCCGCTGAGGCGAGAGCTTCAACGGGAGGAGCAACGTGCCGATCTTGAATTGTGGCCAACTCTGCAACCCAGACTACTCCAAACTGTGGCCGATGCTGCAACACATGTGAAGCACCAACTTTACAAGGCCACTGTGTGTGCGTGTGTGCGTGTGCAAGAACAGTCCGCGAGAGAGGCGGCGCCAGCACATGACATGATCAGGAGAGAGGGGAGTCATATTCGTATCAAGCTAGGCGCTCTGCTTATCTAACATCTTACCCCTCCCACCCAGTCTTTGCCGATACGTTGAATCATTGTTCACCCGTCGACTGGGGTATTCACAGAAACCTAGATCCCCAGGACGACCCCATCGTGTGATGCTTAATCCGGAAGTGGGGCTTTGTACATTGAAGGGTGAGGAGGCATTCGATCATGATGACAGGCAGGAGGGAAACATTGGTAGTGATGAGTGAGGATGAAGATGAGGAGGAGGAGGAGGCTGAGGAGGAGGAGGAGGAGGAGGAGGAGAAGCAAGAGCAGACGAGCAGAAGGAGAAGGCGGATCTGTGGAAGGCAGCGGATGGGCATCGACGAGGAACGTGTCGGATCCATGGGTGTGGCCCGCGCTGGGGCCAGAGTGCCAGTCTGAACGACGGGAGCAACGCGTCGATTCAGAAATGTGGCCAGCGCTGAAAGGCCGAGAACGTTCAGATCGAGAAAACACACATGCAAACAAGCGGTGGAAAGCCTGCGCGTGAACAAACATGATGCTGCAGTGACGTGTTGGCACCGCTGGACATGATCAGGGGAAACAGGGGAGTAGGACTCGTTTTGAGAATGTGTTGCGTGATCGTCGAGGTGGAAGAGGGAGGGAGGGGGAGGGAGGGGGAAAGATCGAAACAGGAGAGGGCAGAGAGGGAGACGCGGGTGAGAGTGGATGGGTCAACGATGGTCAGAGGATGAATGGGAAGTTGGCGCTGTGGCTGAGCAAGGCAGCAGGTGGGAGCCGTGATCCTCTTTCCTTCCCTCCCTCGCTCGGAGAGGAGGATCGAGGAGGAGGAGGAGGAGGAGGAGGAGGAGGAGGAGGATCGAGGAGGAGGAGGATGAGGATCGAGGATGAGGAGGAGGATGAGGAGGAGGAGGAGGAGGAGGAGGAGAGGAGGAGGAGGAGGAGAGGAGGAGGAGAGCGTGTTTCTTTATTGTTTGGGGCATAATGGGCATTACAGCCCCCGCCCCCTCCCTCCCCCCCTCTATAACGTAACGCCCCTCCCCCCTCAGTGCGATCTGGGCACTGCCGCCGTGCGCATCGGAATCCGCATCGGCGTCCGCATAGGAATCCGCATAGGAGGAGGAGGAGGAGGAGGAGGAGGAGGAGGAGGAGGAGGGAGGAGGAGGAGGAGGAGGAGGAGGAGGAGGAGGAGGGAGGAGGAGGAGGAGGAGGAGGAGGAGGAGGAGGAGGAGAGGAAGAGGAGGGAGGAGGAGGAGGGAGGAGGAGGAGGAGGAGGAGGAGGGGAGGAGTTGGAGGAGAAGGAGGAGGAGGAGGAGGAGGAGGAGGAGGAGGAGGAGGAGTTGGAGGAGAAGGAGGAGGAGGAGGAGGAGGAGGAGGAGGATGAGGAGGAGGAGGAGGAGGAGAAGGAGGAGAGGAGGGAGGATCGAGGATCGAGGATCGAGGATCGAGGATCGAGGATCGAGGAGGAGGAGGAGGAAGAGAGGAGGAGGAGGAGGAGGAGGAGGAGGAGGAGGAGGAGGGGAGGAGGAGGAGAGGAGGAGGAGGAGGCGGAGGAGGAGGAGGAGGAGAGGAAGGGAGGAGGAGGAGGAGGAGGAGGAGGAGGAGGAGGAGCAGAAGGAGGAGGAGGAGGAGGAGGGAGAAGATAAACACGTCGCAATATTTTATCAGCTTTTTCCTGGCGCGGCGTTTAGCTGTCCGCAGCAGATCCTCACCTACATGCTCGTTCTACCTGTCCTTTGCACGCAAGCGCTGTGGTGTACACCAGCGCTGCGTTCACGCAGAGGCTGTGGTGAAGACCGGCGCTGTGGTGTGCACAGACGCTGCGGTGCACGCAAGCATTGTGATGTACACAGGCGCTGTGTAGCACATGGTTGCTGCGGTGTTACACATTCGCTGTGGCGTACACCGGCGCTGTGGTGCACGCAAGCACTGTGGTGTACACAGGCGCTGCGTCGCACACGGCTGTTGCGGCGTACGCAGGCTCTCTGGCGTACGCACGCACGCTGTGGTGCACGCGAGCATTGTGGTGTACACAGGCGCTGTGGGGCAGGTCGCCACTTACATGCTGCTCGCGTCGTCGTCGTCGTCGCTCGTCGCTCGTCGCTCATCGTCGTCGTGCGCGCGGGCGCGGCTGTGGTGCCGGAGCCACACGGCGGGGGGGAGGCGTTACATTATACTCCCCCCCTGCCCCCCCGCTCCCCCCCCCATAGTGCCCATTATCGCCGAAAGTAAAGAGACGCGCTCGAGGGGATGGAGGAGGAGGAGGAGGAGGAGGAGGAGGAGGAGGAGGATCGAGGAGGAGGAGGAGGAGGAGGAGGAGGAGGAGAGAGGAGGAGGAGCAGGAGGAGGAGGAGGAGGAGGAGGAGGAGGAGGAGGAGGAGGAGGAGGAGGAGGAGGAAGATCGAGGACGAGGACGAGGAGGAGGAGGAGGAGGAGAAGGAGGAGGAACGCGCGCCAATGAGCGCCCAGTCTCCAGTGGGCTAGCGACGAGGCAAGGTGCAGCTGGGCGCAGCTCCTTCTCGTGGGCCTCCCAGGGCCAGAGCGGACGGCCCCGAGAGAGGTCCCAAGAGACAACGACGTCCAGGATCCGTTCAGGATCTCGCTTTCTGGGCTCCGCCTCGGAGCTCTCTCCTAGACCTACCGCTCTGGGCTCAGCCCCGTGGACCCTTCCCCACCGTAGCCACTTTGGCTCAAGTCGTTTTGGCTCAGGCTGTTTTTCGATCATGTCCGCTGGCTTGAGCGGGTTGGCGTCCGCCTAGGTCACTTTCCGTCACCGGGCAGACCTGCACTGTGATGGCCGTGGCAGGCGCTGCTCCTGTATCTCGTCGGTGCGCCCCCTGTAGCAGAACCAGTTTCGCACCCGACAGCGGACTGTGAGGACGCGTCTCTCTCTCGTTTGCGCGCCCCGCCTCGCTCTTAACCGGAAGAGGCCCGCTCTCGACCCGCAGACCAAAAAAAGTGAGGACGCGTCTCCAGGCGACAAGTGTCACAGCGCTGTCACCTGGGCCCCGTCGGTGGGCGGGGCGATGCATTCCGTTCTTCCTCCTCGCGGCGGCCTCCAGGGCCCAGGGCGCCGGGGGCGCGGGCGCGGGCGC